AAAGGACTCTTCTCTTTCTCTTTCCCTCGCATTCAGTACTTTCTTCTGTTCTTTTGTTTTCCTCCACCCCATCCTGATTCATGCTCTGAGATGCTCCCACTAAGGGTGCTGCTTACATGATTTTGAAAGGTACTACTCTCCGATCATAGTTAGCTGTAAAGTTTTACAGAATATATATTTGTGAGCATGGAGAAAGGAAGATCCTGTGCCCACTTTAATTTTACACCTTTATACCATAAGGGTATAGGAAACATACAAGTCCCAGGGATTTCCTGAGGTCAAGGAACAAAATCCTATTGCAGCTCATTGCAGACAGAGCTGAGGGCAAGAGAGAGATTCCTTGGGAAAATGAATCCCCAACACAAATGTGTTTTGAATTCAAGGGGATGGCTGATGTGATCCATAAACTGAAAGAAAATGAAACTCACAGAAGTAAAAGGTTGTCCTAGTATGTCTGTAAGCATCCTGCAAGCCTACATGATAGAAGCAGGATACTCTATCACAAAAAGCAAATCTATTTTATGAAGATTTTGTGTATTTCAGGGACTGATGCATCTAGGTAGGGATTGTGTTGTTATTTTTCAGTGAAGTAAACCCAAAGGGAGGAAGAAGAGAACACAGTACACTTCTGACAAGACTTACTGATTGGCATGAGCCTCCTTTGGTTGACCCTGCTTCAGATGTCCAGGCTAGATGGGAAAAAAATTTCAGGGCCCAGTACTAGAAAAAAAATCTTATCAGCCAGTCTATTCTCACATCTTACTAATGTGATGTCTAAATTGTGTCCAAATTTCTCCAGTGTGGATTCTGTAAAGCGATCCGCATTTGCCAAAGGTTTTCAATTTGACAGGATATATGCTATCACTCAATAGAAATGGAAAGTAATGAAATTTTTAAGGGAAGCCTCAATGACCAAGAAGAAGTTTTGTACTGCAGATGCAATAATCCCCTGTACTAACCTGTAGCACCATATTTCCTTAACACTGCATGCAGAAACTAGAGAGGAAGAAACAGAGAGACTTCAAAAGAAATTGCCTGATCTGGATAGATGTTGGGCTGACAAATGTGCTGAATTAATGTTCAGATCCGGGGGTAAGTTATGAGTGTTACTGTGGGTCCGAAAATACCAGCCTTTTTTGTATGGTCATGTTGGAAGTCCCACAGATAGAAAGCTAAAATGGCTAAGATCTCCAATTGCTTTTTTACCTTAGCCTTTCATTTCTGGCTTTGTACCTCAAAGTCTGTCCTGCATTGTTGATAAAAACCTTTGTTCTTCACCTCAGCTGGTGTTACAGGTGAGAGTGGAGAATTGACTGAGGTGAGGTACCAAATCTTTTCTTTTATGGCATAATCAAAAAAAGCAGGCAGTGTGAACAGCCTGAGAAACATACAGATCAAAACATATAGATCAAAATACTTAGGAGACTGGGCCCTGGGTAGTTGTTGTTATTAGCAGCATCCCTAATTTATCCCCAGATCTTTCTTTTTACTATTTTCCTTAAAAGCAGAGGACAGAATGACAGGCAGAGCTCTCAGGAAACCGTAAGTTATTACCATGGCCCCTTGGGAGACACTGTGTATCATAGTCATTCTGACTCCCCAGAAGGCTACTTCTGCTCTGGCACTGCCCAGATTAAGGAAGAGAAAAACAATCTGGTGAAGGTCAGCTGTTCCACTCAAATCCCAGGTGCAGTAAGTCTCACTCTGTCTTTGATCTTTTTCTCTGTTTGATAATATTTTCTCCAATGTACCTCAGGGTTGTGATTGTTGGACATTCTAAAGAGGAAATCGATGGGCACAGATTTACAATTCTACAATATAAGGTTTTAGAACGGAATTACATTTCTGTGAAATTCATCCTCTGCAGGGAGTAAGCAAAGAATGAGTTTCACCCAATAGTGGCCCACAGTTCCAACTGAAGTCAGTGAGATTTTGGGAAGAGAAAAAATGAAATGTCTGTAACCAATGGGTCTAGTGATACTTCTGTAATAAGAAACAAGGGGGTTAAATGTACGTCCAAACAGAAAAGAGAGCATATGTAGTCCTGGCAACTGAAACAGTCAGTGTAAATCCAGCTGTGTTTCATCAGGGAATAATTTGACCCTCGATTTTTCCATCATACATGGAGATAGAGAAATAAAAGAACTAAACAAGTTAAAGAAAATGACGCCATTATCCAAAGGGATAATTGTCTGTGCTGTACCTCCAGCACAGGGGAACAGCACGTGGGAAGGACTGAAGAGCTGCACTCAATACTTTTGTCAATTCCCTTATCTGCTTTTAATAGTGTGAAACTCTGGTTAGATTGTGCAGGTGGTGAAAATCATGACTTGAGGGATGAAGGGAGAAATCCTCACCGTGGTGAATGGCAACCCCAGAGCCAGGTACACTTGTGCTGCTTGCTGTGCTTCTGCTTACGCTGGAGGCTGCTGTGGAGCCCTGTGGAGATCCCCTTTGCCAGCTGAGAGCCCAAAGAGTTGCAGGGATAGCCGGTGGCAGCACACAGCCCTGTGCCTGGGGATTCCTTGGCAGCCTCAAATATAACCCAATGATCATTTGAGATTAAATACAGAAGAAAGGAGCACAAGAAAGGATTATTTCTTGCTCCACTTTCCCATAGGCAGGGACAGTAGAAGTGCATGGGAAGTGCTGTCTTCAGGACTCCCCCTGGGATTTATTCAACTGGAGGTCACCAAGTCCTGGTTCTCCCTGCCCACCTTTGGGAGCATGAGTAGGAACTTGCAGTAACAGAACGTATTAAATCTATTAAAATTGCATAATAAGCTATTCCTGACCAAAAGGGGCACAGTAAGTCCTCCTGTGTCTCTAAAGATGTTTTATAAAGGGCAGAATCACACTGGGCTTGTGAGAAGAAGGCTACTTTTAAGTGATTTGATCTGAAGCCAAGAGTTACAGTGTAGGATGCTGCCTGTGGGTTCTCACAGAAAGCAGACCAGGCAGTCACCCTTTGTCTTTAGTGTGCCCAGTTAAAAGTTTTTGAGTTTTAGAAATGAGAGCTTAAAGAAAATTTGTCTTTTAGGGTTAAGCCTGATCCGCCTCCGAATGAAAGGACACCAAAGTACTCCTGAGACAGAGCAGTCCCCTACAACAATATCCAATATACAATATCCAATGCATTATCCTTTATAGTCTTTATTTGAAAAGGATAATGTTATAAGCCTACCTGAAATCAGAGGTTACAGGCCAGGAACAGTAGGATTGTGAGCCTTCCAAGTATGAATCACATTACTAGCAATTTTTCCCTGAAGGGAGAAAAGTAAGAAGGTAGATAAGGAAGATAATAATGACTGCTTCTTAAAGTGCCATTAACCAACAAACAGGTATATTTCCTCTACTGGAAGCAAAGATAACGTATCTTTCCCCTTTCCTGAAGTGACCTGTCCTAAATTTAAGGCTGACCTAAAACAAAATAATCTGTTCCAGGGTGCCAGTAATGAGGTTCCTCTGTCTGCAAGTCAGTCCTGGCTGGCATCTCTTCTCCCTCTTCATGATGTGCTGGCTGCTCTCCATAGCCATCACTCAGGCCTCTCTCTCTCCTTGCACCTTTAGAACCAGCTTTGGCCAAGTCCCAGAACTTAGATTCAATGCTATTATTCTAGGGTTTGGGAATGACTGTTTGTATTCAACATAAACTCAGGGGGAACTCTTCAGTAGCTGCTGAAAATTCTGAGCCCAGTCCTGGAGTAATACCCTCTGTCTGGCACAGTGTTACTTGGCCTGCTCTTCAGTATGCTCTATCTAATGAATATATTTTCCCTTTTCACAAAAATGTTTCACAAATATGAAAGAACAGTACAGACAGAACAAACATGTTTCAAGGTGTCCCATGGATATTTTTTTGCTTATTCCATCTTTGGTCCACCAGTTGTCAACATAGTGTTCCTTCTTGTTTTAGATCCAAGCCCTTGTTGAAATTTGAGAGAATCTATAAAAGTTCATTCATTTCAGGCCTTATCCAGGATTACAAGTATATCTCTGGGCTTTTTACAACAGCAATAATGTGGGTGCTCAGTTGCAAACCGAGTGAAGTTTTCTGAAGTAACTGTCCTCTTCTTAGAAATATACAAAGAAAAATCACATCTTTCCATCCTGTGAAACCATGTGGGAGAGAAAACAATCCTAGCCACGGGTTTTGTTTTTCTGTTTGGTTTATTTTCATATCTTGTAGGCCTTGAAAACATTTCTAAAAGAGCTAGAAATTTACCTTTCTTAATGGCAGACTAATCCATCTTCAAAGTGGACACTGGGGATAGGAAATATTCAAGAGATTTAGTATTATGAATGGCTATCTCTGACCATAATGATTTAGGATGTAGTCATTTACATTAATTACTGTGAGTATTTAAACTATCTGTTACTCAGCAGTAAAAGGCTGGGAAGTGTTCTCATGTTGTAATAAATACAGAGTTTACTCCATCAAGAACATGGCAGAGAGAACATTGCTGTTTTAATAGGTGAGTTTGCAAACACGTACACACAGAACGTAAAGGTCTATAACCAGAAGGACAAGTCTGCATAAATCCAAACCTCCTATTGCACAGAGAAGGAAATGCTTGGCAGTTTTATAACACTTGGAGCTGCTAGGTGGCTGATTCTGGGGAAGGCTAAAGATTTGCCTTGGTACAGAAACTGATACTAAATATAAGTTATTTTCTGTATGTTGTTGAATTATCCAAATTAAACAAGCAACAACAACAACAACAACAACAAAACCCCAAAAATCCACAAAACCCAACAAAAATGCCCAAAATAAAAAAACAACACATCAGAAAACCCACAAAATCCCACAAAACACCAAAAAATGCTGTGTAATAAGAGCACCCTCAACTGTTGTGTTTGTGTTGTGAAGTTCATGTGTTACAAAGACCTAAGGGCCATTTCATGTTTTAAGGAGGCTGGCATTTAAAATTAATTTTCTTGCAGGAATATCCTTCAGAGTTACTTCATTAACTTAGAGATTTATTCTTCATGTATTTCAGAGCAGATAACAATAGCCTTCACAGTGTCCATGGTGATTGGACTGGTGATTGGAGGGATCATCTGGGCATTTTTCACCTGCTTGTCCCGTCGCAGAGCTAGTGCCCACATTTCCCAGGGGAGCCCCTCATCCTTCAGCCGTCGGTCCAGATCTTCCTCCCATGGCCACGCTGCCGGCAGGACTGGATTTTACCGCAACAGCAGCTGTGAACGTCGGAGCAACCTCAGCCTGGCCAGCCTCACCTTCCAGCGGCAAGCCTCCTTGGAGCAGGCCAACTCTTTCCCCAGGAAGTCAAGCTTCCGTGCATCCACCTTCCACCCTTTTCTGCAGTGTCCTCCCCTGCCCGTGGAGACGAACAGTCAGCTGATCACCCTCACTCCCACAAATACCACCACAACCCTTGTGGGAAGCACCACTAACAGCCTGAGTCGACCTGAATTCCACTGGTCTAACAACAACCTCCGCATCTGCCACTCCACGCAAACCCCACCTCCCGCCTATGAAACCATCATAAAAGCTTTCCCAGAATCCTGAGCTTTGTCCTCGCTGCAAACACACCTGTGCATCTTAGAAGGAACCTCAATTATCTCAACAATTTTCCGTGCATGATGAAGATCTCTGAGAAGTCTCCAGCTGCAGTTGCAGTTGCTTACTTTGCCAAGAAGCGTATAAAAGTGATTTCATGGAGCCCAGCATCCCACTATCTGAGAGATCACTTGTCTTTGCACTGCTAGCTTTTATTTACTCCTCTGCTGTATGCTTGTATATTTATATTGTTATATCTTTAATTGCAGCTATTGTCTCTTTATTTTAGAGGGAAAAATGCTGCCACATAAAAACTACATCATTTCTTGAAGAAACAGATAATACTAGAAATTACTGATATACACAGCACATCAATGCAAATTTCACTATTCCTTTTTTTTTAAGAAGTTTTGATTTTACATGTTTTTGTTACATTTTCGGAGAGCACCTCCTGTTACCCACCTTCTTGCTATAATCCCAGAAGAGCTTCAGTCTGAGGAACCTTAGACGCAGACCTCATAGAGGATGCAGTCCTGGCTGCTGTAGACTTCCTGTTCTGTTGTTTGCAAAGATCTGATCAGAAAAGACTCCAAGACTCAATATTAAGGATGCTTGTTTGAAATTCCCCACAGAGTGGGAAAAAAAAATTGTGAAGTATATATAGCTTCATGCACAAAGAAGTTTTGAACAATATACTAAATGCATGATAACAATTATAAAGAATTTTCTGTCTGCAACCAGCAGAACAGGTAGTCATGTTTTGCTACCCAATGAGGCTGTATGGGCAGAACTCCTCATGTTTCATTTTTCTAGTTCTGGCTATCCAGATAAGCAGTATGAATGACAACTATTTTTTAATTAAGTTTCCTGATTTCCTATGGGATTAGTCATTTCCTTATTTCAAATGTTTTTTCTCAAATTGTACCAATGTTTAATTCTTTCTTTTATTCACTGAAATCTTGTCTTTCACTAAAACAAGATTTCAGACATCTTTGGCTGAATACAGGGATTGTATAATGAATTGGGATATGAAGGAAAAGACAAAGTATTTAGGTGAGGCTTACATGTATTCTTGACTTTTATATGTGTGTCATGCCGAGCTAACCCCTGGCTTAGTAGAGACTAATTGCACTGATATGACAAATGTTCAGGATTTGGAAATAACAGACACAAATGGGACCAAAATTAAATCTTATTGTATCAGTTTCCTGTTAAATTTTTCATGTTCAAATTAAGGGTAAAGAGTTTCCACAACTGGAGGAGTGTCCACACTTGCACACTCCACACTTGCAAATATGCCAGTTGTTTCTAAAAGACTTGGATGACACCAGCCTCAGGACTCCTGATTCTGAGGGGGCTTCTGCAGGGAGAACAAGTTCTTGTCTCTCTTCTGGGAGAGACAAAGATTCAGCAGAATGAGTAAAATGCTTAACATCTCCCAAGTTTCCCAGGCTTTTGGAGGCTGGCAGCAAGCATCCCTTTGCTGAGGACAACATCCTCCAGGAAGCACTGGCATTGATCTCTGATCCACAGTATTCCAGCCCAATAGCCACCCATTTGCTACAAACATTGAGCTTACAAGCAATGCTTACTGTAAACAAGTATTCCTTATTGTAAAGGCAAATTATTTTGCATACTACTTACTGACTGGATTTCATTATTTTATTTTTAGTGTGCAGCACATCTGGAGAGATGTATGTCATTGCTAGAAGAACAACCATTTACAGAGTTTACAGAGTATTTCACTGCAGACACTATGGGTTCTAGCACAACCAGAACTTGCTGATAAGATTGTACACTGCATTTGACTGATCACAGTCTACAGACTTAAAATAGCAGTCTTCTGAAGAAAGAAAGAAAGAAAGAAAGAAAGAAAGAAAGAAAGAAAGAAAGAAAGAAAGAAAAGAAAGAAAGAAAGAAAGAAAGAAAAGAAAGAAAGAAAGAAAAAAGGAAAGAGAAAGAAAGTTAGTTATGCTTTTTCATTCATTAATGATTTTTTTCACATTTAGTCTGGTGAATATTATTGCATGCAAAAATGTGTTCAAAGTGTTCTTCCTATAGAATAGGTGATGCAGCCTATTCTAACCTACCTACAAAAAGCAGAATTTAAGCCTGCTCCCTTTGCTTGGTGGGTTTGATGGACTGTGGAAGAGACAATTTACCCTACCAGCTGTGTACCCAGTGTGCACCCAGCTGGCCAAAACTGCTTGTTCCTTGAGAGTGAAATCATTTTAGATGAGTAAATTTTTACTGTTGGATTGCAAGTGCACATTACATTACAGTAGAACTTCCCACAGCACAATTATTACAGAATTTTTACTTGTATTACACTGTATTTAGTAAACATTGTAAAGAGGGAAGCTTAAATGTACTGTATTTTTTTTTTTTTTCTCCTGAAATCTGCACTGGATATCGAAACATTTCTGATGTACCCTGGATTAGGGAGACTAAAACCACACACGTTTGGTGTATAGCCAATATGACTGTCAGATGACTAAAACTTGTTTTCACATGTGAAATAAATGTTTTGCAAGCATTCAGGAAGCTTCAGAATGTGGAATAAAGTTAGATGCTATAATCTCAAGCTCATGTTTTTTCTTAATGACAAATACAGTGATTTGCATAAAAGATCCTTTAAAAGGAAGAGTATTATCTTTAATTATGCAAGCTGATACAGTTAGAAATGTGAATGAGGACTCCCTCCTTCCTTTGCTTCTGTTGGGAAACACCCTAAAAATGAAGATGTTATTTGACGTCAGGGTCAGAATTTGCCCTATGAGAACAGCTTCAAAGGATTACAAGTGAGAAGGTTTCTCACAAATAACTGCTTACAGATGTTAAATCCACTGTTTTATAAGTACTTCAGCTTCACTTCACATTGTGTTTGAGCAAATGCTTGCTTTCAGCAAAAGGGCAATCACTATAAGGTTCATGATTAAATGGACTCATGCACATTTTATTACATTAGGACCAAAGCACGCTGCACAGGACCAACCCCCAGATTAACACTGGGATTCAGGAATCATTATGTGTTTGATATGCAAAAATATTATATTTGCTTAATGTAGTCATCTTTTATTTCAATTTAAAACACTAGAAATAAAAGTTGAATTAAAACAGTGTGTTACCAAGATTTCAGAGCATTCACAAGCATGATCTGAGCTTGACAATTATTTTGCATGTAATACAATTAAAAAGGTGCTACCAGAATAATGTAGGGACTGATAGGCAGAACTCTGATCAACATCCAGATATCCTGACACCTTGTTCTGAATAAGCAGAACTACTTCTCCTCTTCATGAAGAGAAATGCTATCCTGTTATTTTTCATGTTCGCAAAAAGGCACTCCAGTTATGGGTTCATACAGAAGGCAAAACTTGATAGCTCTTTGTCAGAGAATATTTATGTTCCATCTTATTTACAAAAGTAGCTCATGCTATATTCCTTGACCTTTCCCCACTGAAGAGCTGCTGGCCACCTCTTCAGACAGCTGCTGATGACCATACTGTAACACACTGAATATGCAGTGTTTTTGCCAAATCACATTTTAAACTTCACTTGTAATTTATCATGAAGCTTTTGAATCATCTCAAAATCCATTCTTAAGTTTAAACTGAAAGCTATGCTCACTAGAAATATCCTCTTGGAGGTGAAATGACACATGCCAGATCCCTAACCTATAAGCACTTGATAAAATTAGATGATGTCTATGATGCAGTACAGCTTAAAAAAAAAAAAAAAAAAAAAAAAAAAAAAAAAAAAAAAAAAAAAAAAAAAAAAAAAAAAAAAAAAAAAAAAGAAAGAAGATACTAAAGATACTAGTTAGAAATGTACCTCTGCCAAGTCCCGAGCAGACTAAAGAAAAAGGCTTCAAAATAATATTACTTCAAAATACTGAGAACAGTATTTTAGAAACTAAACTTACGAAGTCTTAAAACTCAAGGAAAATGCCTGTATCTTCATTTGGGACTCTTAACAACAGTGAATTGTTAAAGGGCTTGAGTATTTTGATGTCCTGTATGACTTTGGATAATTACTTTTCCGAATGCCAAAAAGGATGACAAGATCCTAATCTCTTTTTCAATCTAATATTAATATTGGCTACAATTGACTCAGTATTTTTCAATCAGCTGGTCTAGAGAGTTCTGAGATAAGTACTGCAGCACTCAATAGGTGAACTACTGCTGGCAGCAGCTCTTTTTGGAGTGCACAAAGAACAAACTGCCTCACATGTAGCAGCAGCAACAGCAGTGACTCTACTAAAGATCTCTGGCCTCACTGTGCCAAGTGGGGTCTGTGCATTATTCCATGCTTTTGCCCTCAAACAGTTTGCAGGTTAAGGAAACAACTCTGGAGGAATCTGGTTTGTGAGTCTTGTTTCTGCTTTTGACTTCTGTGAAAGCTTTTGGCTTCCATCAGGTTTCTGACGACACTGGTGCATGACTGTGGCAACGCCTGATGGGCATGGACTGGATTGAGGAGCTATTTCAGTGAACATGTTTCCTGTCTGCATTCCCGGAGACATTCTGCATCAGAGACATGTTTTCATCTATTTAGCAGCAGAATCAAGTGATTGTGTGCTGAGGGCTGTGAAGGAGCAGTTGCCCTATTTTAGAGCAAGGAGTTCTTTTAAACAAGAGTAGCTTAATCATGAAAGGGATTACGCACAGTGATGGGACTGAGATAGCAGGAAATTGGATTTGCTGATTTAGGGCATAATCATCTGATGTGCCTATGACTAGGAACAGTATGGAAAGGCACTGGAATGTAAAATTATTCCTGTCTAGTTCATGCTGGATCTGCATCCATATCAATCCACTTTATTTTATAGCAACATATTGATCTGTATGAAGGAAGGCTGATGCTACTCCCTTGTTCTAACTTAAGAAGAGCACAAACCACAGCTGGCAGTGATATGCATTTCTTTGATATGTATGGAGAAGTTGCTCATGATTAATTGCACATTAAAATGGGATGAATCTCCTAGACTGATCAGTCTAATGCTTGAGTACATGGAGAAGCAAGCAGGAGTCCCATTTTTTTTGCCTGTGCTCTGTTCCTCTACTGTATATCCTGGTGATCTTCTAAAGTTGTTGTTTTTTTTTTTTTTTTTTAATAAGAGGGAAGAATTCCATTTAAGCCTTTTCTAGACAGATTGTAGATTTTCTTTTCTCCTTTAGTGCTTCTCTGTTTAGTTCCAGAGTACCTATCTGTGGATAAGTATGATGATAAAAATACACAAATCTACACTCTGTCCCATTCTTTTGTTGTTCTGCCAGAGCTTTCTTATATAGAAAATCACTTTGAGGGATTGATTGGTTTGTGTGTGATAAGCTTGCCAGCACTAGTTTGCCAGCATCAAAGCAA